AATTTATTATTTTATGGAAAAAACTAGAATAATGATTGAAATTTACTAAACAGGCAATGTCTCTTCACAATATTTTCACACTTTTATTCTCATGATAGTATTGTTTTACTATCTTATTACTTAGCTTAAAAAAAGTGTACAACAGTATTTTTGTTATAATATAAATTCGTATTCTTCATCGTCATTGTAAATTTACCTGAATTTAATTTCTACGAGTAATTACATTTCGGATACATTTCAACTATTAACTATGCTAAATTTTTACAGTACAGTTAGTTATCTTAATACGTGGGTAATAAAATTGTTATTTTTTACGGGAGAGTTAATGGAAAATAACGAGGGCTGATATTTTTATTACTTCATTTTGAAATTTATAATGTAATGTACAGCGGATGATAAATTGAGTTTCCAACTGTAATGTGAATAAAAGCAGTTGCAATTTTTTACTAAATGATCCGTAACTATTGTGTAAAAGAATTTAAAGCTTAATATTTAGAAGAAAAAGTAATTGTTTCATTGGCATGTCGATAACATTAAATTTATTTATTTATTCAACTTGTAAATTTAATTTTAAAGCAAATTTGCATTTTATTTAATTATTTTAAGGTCTGGTTTACTACTAAAAGGTTTTTTTAGTGAGCCATGCTATTTTTATTTCTAAATTATATTGTTTTAATTTATTAGCATCTAAATAGTTCTTTAACAACAGAAAACTATCTTTAAAGTTAATAATACAATATGTCATACGGTTATCTTACGAAAAAAATTCGAATATCGTTCCAGAGACAAGTCGAACAATAATTTTTTATTACCGCCAAGCCCTACTATTGCTACTTCGTTAATATATTAAACTGTTTTAAAAATTAAAAACTCATCTAATACACATAGAATCAATTTTATTTTCAAAAAAGAAAAAACATTTTATGAAAAAAATACATTTTGTTTTATTTAAACTTTCAAAAATTGGTTTACTTCAAAAGTATACTACAGAGAAAGATAATTCTTATAAAAATAGTGATTGATAATGTGAAAATAAAAAGCTTTGTTATTTTTCGTGTTTATTTTTAGGCGCTTGACTTTTATACTCTAATATAATATTTTCCATAACTTTGAAATAAGAATTTGAATGAAGAATATCTAAAAAGTATCCGAGAATAACTTTTATCGATCATTGTAGTTTTTAAAAAGTTACATTATTTTTAAATTGAACTCGAAACACTCATAAAAAACCCGTTTATTTGGCAATTTTTATAGTTTCTTTTGTAATAATATCAGACTGTCATTTCATTTTTTATGTGTCATGGTACAAGTAAAAAATCACTTAAAGTTGAAATTCAAACTTTTATATTATAAAATTGCGCTTGTTGTACGAGTATAGCTGAAAAACATTACCTTAAAAAAATAATCGCACGTCTTGTGCAGTGACTATATTCTTATGTATATTAAAAAAGTACACGAGTAAATTTTTGAATAAGTGAAAATAAAACTTGTAAAAAATGTATAAAGTTGTAAAAGTGAAAACACATGGTAAAAAAACAATACTTGATAGCCAACATATTTATTTCATGAAAGTATATCAGTATTGAGATAAAGAGCAATTTGAGTCGACAGAATAATTACTTAAGTTTTATGCTTATGGCCGTGACACTTAGAAAAAAAAATTATTTCGTTATTATAAAAGGTGATAATAATTTAGTTTAGCGTTTTGTTATGATTTGCTAGCGCCTTTTCTTGGTTTATTTTTTTGAATATTACTTAGTTTACGTGTACGCAAGAGATCCATTACGGAGAAAATGTTTAGTTTTTTCCACTAAAATAATTTTCAATTTTCATCCATTTATTTTTATAATACATTTAGCATTCTTTCAGTGTACTATTTGTTCTTTATTAGCCTTTTATACTAATTAAAAAATAATAAATTGCATGGTTACAAAAGGAAGCATACGCCTTTAAAATGGTATAAAAAAACAATTGTATTTCAATATAGGAAAAAATAACCGACCCTTATCATGTCTTTTGGGCTACAATAGTAATAGAATTTGTAGCTTTTATCTTTTCGCATTTTATACCCTCTTTAATATTTCAAACTAATGTTCTTAAATTCATATATCTTTTATAATTTTTTGATTAAAAAAAATATTGAATAAACATAAAAGTCACTAAATAAATAAATTTACATATTTAATTAAACCATTTTTTACACAGTGCGTAATGATTGTATGTTGTACAAAGTATAATACTATATTCATATTATAAAAAAATGTGTTGGATTTTTTTCTTAATAAAACATACGGCAGCAATATTATGTTAGTTGATATATAGACAGGTTATAATTTTTTATGTCGTATCGCTTACATGGCGTATATTTATACAGGTAAGGGTAGAGTTTCGTAACGACGATGTCTGTATTTGACTCAAAACGGGTTTTTTAATCTCCATTCTCTCCCCCTCGCCCTTATATATATTTTTTATGTCAGTAATATCGGCGTTCATGTATGTGAATAAAAAAAATTGCCTTACAGATGAGTACGCACGTTCTGACATTCATTTTCGAACTTACGGGGATTCTTCTTAGACGTTCTTTTTTATACTCGACCCATGAATTATTTTTTTTTTCAACCAAATACTGTTGTTAACCTCGTTTATCGTTTTCCTTACACACATAAATTATAAATTTATGAATTTGAATGCCTACGTGAGTTTGTTCCGTTATTGGTTTTTCGAGTTGAAAGCAAAGTTTTTAGCTATTTATATTTAAATGAATATACAAGAAATGAGGTGTATTCATTGAATTCATTAGTATCGTTTGAATAATCACTTACCCTCGTCTTGTCCATGCTAATGATATACGACTAATTATATATGTTTATGCGAGGTGTCCCTAATAAATTTCATTTGCCCGTTTTTGTTCAGTTAAAGTAAAAGTAATTTGATTATCGCGAACATTTGGTAAGGTAAACATAAACGAACTCTCCACTTTTTTTTTGCAACAATTAAATCTGTTATTGCCTTTAGAGAGCTTAAAAACAATTTAAAATACAAAAGGAATATTTGTCATGTTTCATCAATATAAAGTAGTCGTACAAATTCACAAGTGTCGGGTTTATATAATTCCGCGGTTTAGTTTATATAAGGAGATAATATTAACGACGATAGAATTTCCGTTATATTTTATAGTTGATACTATGTTGATAAAAAAAAATCAAAAATTCTCTTACCACATGCTTTTGAACCATTATCTATGCTGTATTTGTACATACCGGTCTAAATCACAAGGGATATATTATTATTTCATGGGCAACACTATGATGGATAAAAGTTAATTTTTATATTTATTTTAATCATATGTTTCTCAATGTTGTTTTGAACGGTACACAATGGAAAACAAGTGTAATTTAATTATTTTGTGAACACGTCAGAACTCTCCGGTAAGCCGTGACAGAACACTGTTTAAGTTAATTTTAACTTTTAAATTAACATTTTTATAATTAAACGAGGATTAGTTCACTCGAGCAAATGTGAATGAGCTAGTAATTAATTAGCTCTCTCTAAGTTGAACGAAACAAAATATATCTTAAGATCCGCCCAAAACTAATTTGTTTTAAGATTATTTTTTTAAAACTTTTACTTAAACAATTTTTTTAATTGCAATAAATAATGTAAATTGCAACGTTTATTATTACATCACAATTTAGTCATATTTATTACTTAAGTTTATTAATAAATGTTAGCATTGATTTTATGTTAAATAAATGAATCAGTTAAGACATAGACAGCGAGTTATTTCAAATGCTGTTAATTTTATTTTGACATCTAAACTGAAATTGTTGGCACGTGTAAAACACGCACAATACGTTGGTTATCATAATCACTATGAAATATTATTATGAAATGATTTTCGTTAATCGCTATCGTTCAAAATTAACGGTTGGATTTAATTAAATCGATTCTTTTCCATAATGATGGAATATTATAATAATCAACACACTATAATAATTCAATTGATTTATACGTTGTTTTTCATTGGCAATTATTTTATTTTCTTGTCAATATAAAATATAAAATATACATAAAACATTTTTTAACATTCTAGGTGATATTATTTTAATTTCGAGATAATCAAGCTTTATAAGATTTCGTGTATTATTTTTAGTCCAACCCTAAATTTATATCAGTTTCAAAAAGATCCAGCTGTGTTGCTTGTATTTTAAGTGTCTGTATATATATGAAACATATTTTTTCGGCAAACAATTTTTAAGTAAAAATCAAAGTTTATTTTTGTTTTTCAGCAGTTTACTATTAAAAATAATAATGTTTAAGTAATATAAGTTTTGTAATTCTCGATTGTTTTAATATATGAAAACATCACATTTTCCTATAATGCACACTTTTTCAGTTTTTATCTCTATTCAAGTAAATGTCTCCATCGTATAGTAATGAATACATTCGACTTGTTTAATTTATTAGAATGATTTTGTCTATGTCACTTTTATTTAAAACGCACAACATGACACGAAAATAAAGCGGGTTCGACCGAATGAATTACAAGACAAATAGTTCTAGCGAGTTGAAACATCTACAAATTGAGTACCTACAAGTGTCACGACTGCTAAAATATTCATAGAATTTTCAAGACAATCCGCCTTTTTTTCGTATTTAATTTCACAAAAAAATCCTTTAATGATAACGGTGCCATTTTTTTGTTTACTAGTTTAATAATGTACAGGAATAATAAATGATTAATTCTACTAATTTTCAGAATTTGTATTTTGTAACGGGAATGACGCAACTCAATAGCTTATTAATATGTGTTCCAGAAAGTTTATTTTTGGGTCGTTACATAATTTTTAGATAAAATGAACGTTTGACGAAAAACGTTTGTAATTTTTAAAAAATGTTTAATTTTAATCTGTGCAACAAAATTCGAGAAAAAAAAATACTATAAAATGTGATGTAACAATGTTGTATTTTTACCGATGAATAAAAATTGTTGCGCTTACCTTGGCCGTACCGCGTGCCATTGTAACTCTGCTGCATGATGGGAAGACACCGGACGGCGGTTACATAAGCGTGCGGCGGCGGCGTATGTACTATAAATAGGCGACAAGCGTGCTCCGGTAGTCTACATCAATGTTTTGCAGCGACTTTGGTCATGGTACACCCCGAACTCTACTTGTGCAACAGATGGCCCCGCCGGGGCTCCTGGTCTCCCTAGCAACGGCTATTACAGGTGAGATGTTGCTCGGCAACCGGTGCCCAAAAATCCGGGCAAAACCAATGGCCCACATTCGTTAATCAATTGTGTCACCTTATGAGTTTTTATAATCACTTACTAATATTAATTAATGACGATTTTAGTCTGATTTTGGTCCTTCATCGGACCCAAAAAACAAATGACTTGGCCTGATTTGTTTTCCGAAAGACTTGCGGTAGGCGGGCTTGGCGGCTTCTCAAACGGCGCGGTGTGGCAGATCGACAGCGTTCGGCGGTCGTCGTCCTAAGTCGCATGACCCACAACCCCCCCGTTCGAACCGTTACACAACGTTTTTCAAAAATAATTGTATCAGTAGTACTCACGTTGCTTTCCCCTCGCCCTAGTCTTTCTGTAAATTAACTCTACGCTTATGTGACAAAGTTAAACTTTCACAATATAAACGTTGTCAGTCATTTTTTAGTTAGTTGCAAATCACCAAAAAACCATTACGGGCTGTATAAACATTTTACAGCGAAACTATATTATACTTATATTTTCTAATCGTAATTTTATTCGGTTTCAGTATGTTAAGTATCGTAAACTTATTAAGTTCACGAGTAAATAGGAAAAAATTCAAATAAAAAATTTGTCAACATTTTAATAATAACATCTAATTAATTCACTTTTTTATTAAAACGAAATTCAAGTTTGGTCTGGTCTAGTTTACGTTCGTTTAGCTAATTAAAACTAATACTTTTTTTTAAACTGCTATACTATACTTTGACAATTTGATTGTCGCATCTCGAAAAAGGTCATCTATATTAATGTTATTGTTATAATAATGAATAGTACCATTATTATTAGACAATACTAAATTTAATAACTAAAACAAACCTTTTTGATTTGGCAATTGTCTAACTATATTAAAGTTTATAAATTTAAGTTATAAAAAATTCATTGTTTCTTTTTTTTAATTATTCACGAAATGTGAAATATAATATAAACCGAGGTAACGATGCTTTAAAATACTCTAAGTAAATGTACTGCTTTTTATTAGAGTATTTTAACCAAATAGCAATTTAAAAAAATTAATGTTTTAAAAACATTATTTAAAGGAAAATGTTATTAATGTAAAACATTTATAGGCAATTAAAAATCTTATTTTTACATTTTAAAATTATTTAATTTGTTTAGTTCATTTTGATTAGGTCAAATTTATCACGTAAATTTATATTTGATAAAAGAAATGAACATTGAACATTTTTGTATGTACGAATAATCATAAAATCGTCCATAAAATATTCATGTTTGTTTTGTTACTTGTAAAGTATCTACAAAAAATGATTTAAATCTGTGAATAGTATTCTACAATAATCCCGCATTCCAGTTTTTAGGCACGGCCTTTTAGGTAATCAGTTATTAAGTACTTTATCAATGTTATACATAAACTGAATAATTTTCTTAACTCAAGGTTCTGCAAATATAAGACTGTAAATTCTATTCATTAAATTATAATAAAATTCACAAGTTAAGCTTACAAATAAAGTTACTGATATAGAAATTATTTATAAAAATCTTGCACATAAATATTTTTGCAGAATCTTTTGATGTTAATAAAATTGAATTTTAAACCATTATAAGTGTAGTGGTTTGAAAAATACTAATGAAATATTGTGGGAGTTGTCGAATTACTGAAGTATACAAAGAAATGTTCTCGAAACATGGCAATCATCTAAAATTGAAGAGAGTTCACCATGTTTACGTACATTTTTCAGTTTTATTTTACTACCAATTACATTATTATTAGTTGCCATGTACTCATGATTTTCATCGAAAACACCCTCAGGAAACTTGCCTAAAAGTACTATTTTACCGGCCCACCTAACTGCAAACATTTAATTTTATTACTATAGTTGTTCGCTTGCCTTGAGCCACTAATTGATTTTATGGTTGTTTATAACCATAACTATGTTTATTCTAACTAAATTGTTAATAACCTTTGATTATATTGTAATATAAATACTATATTTAAAAAAAAAAAAATAATACCCGTCTATTTAATTATGAAGTATTAAAGAAATAAGCTAAATGTAAGGCATAATTTATTAAAAATTATATCCACCCACATATTTTCCTTAACAAATAATCTTTTCACAAAAATGTATTTAATAAAATTTGATTTATTTTTATGAACCATATTAAATATCATGTAAATTGTAACATGAATTATTTTTAAGTTATTATATTCTAAATCTAAATCAACACAGAGGATTAATGCTTGCAACCCATTTCTCTTAAAATAATATGTTTTTTTGTTAAAATGTATATAACAAAATATTTACATTTTAAACATTAAATATTACACGTAATTCTATTTTATTTTAATATATTTATAAATAACATTTTCAATCCTTCAATAATGTGTTTAATTTAACTTAAAATTATTATAAAATTAAAAAAAATTTAAATAAAAGCTAATTATAAAAATATAATGTAATATTAAGAAGTAAGGTAAATCAAAAAAATATTGTATTTCTATATTTGTTGTATTATATGTATAATATATGTATATATGTATTTAAAATACCTCTTCATGATAAATCAAAATATTAAAAATTGTGCTCCTACTAAATAATTATTTTTTCGATTTTTAACTTAAAATAATAATTTTTAATGATTGTATTGTAATTAAGAAAAAATAAAATACATTCAATTGGTTTAAAGAATGGTGAATCAAAATTATCAGTCATTATTTAGCATAGACTATTGCTTAGTAGTTGAAACTATTATCATAGTTATCAAAAGTTAATTTACGTAACTATTTCCAATAAAATATACTTTTTATTGAATTTTTACTGAATTGAATAATTTTAATATTACAATTGGAGGTGAAATGGTTACATATTGTTTTTAATACATGTTTACTTAACGTGTAAAAATATTATTTATCAATCATAAATCTAATGAACTCTAATTTAATTCATTTTATTTAACAATATGTTTTTAATAAATAATTCACATGTAAATATTTATACATAAATATAAATCATTCTTTTAACGTCATTCACTCAATTTTTCTTAAAATAATAACTATGTTCAAGTTTTTTTAGGTGTACAATTTTTAATATTTTGATTTTCATTGTATTAAATATACAACATATATAGTAATACTATATTTTTTAATTTTCCTTGCTTCTTAATATTATAACATATTTTTATAACTAAATTTTATTTATTTTTTTATTTGTAATGTTTTTAAATTTTTATAATAGTTCTAAAATAAATCAAACTTTCTATTGAAGAATTGAAAATGTTATTTATAAATATATTATATTAAATACAATTTTATATAATATATAATACTTATATCAAAAATATGTACACCATGAAAAATCGTGATTAACATCTATGAAGTACATTCTTAAATAAACAATTTATTTAAACTTTATTAAACAAAAAGGATGAATTAAGTGTTAGAAAAATAACGGTATTATAGTTAAATAAAATTTGTTCTTGCAATGTTTTCAAACGTAAAGTTTTAAAATAAAAATACATAAATCAGTATATTGTAAAAAAAAAAACTAAATTGACATGAAAATATTATATANTTAAAATAAAAATACATAAATATTTCAGTATATTGTAAAAAAAAAACTAAATTGACATTTAAATATTTTAAAATATATCAAATTCAATTTTGACTTTAAATTTTTTAAATTTAAAACAATGTGTAAACTTGAAAATTTTGTTACTATAAATTCAATTATTAAAAAATTTTACACGTTCATGACTTTTCTTTTCAAGTTTTTTAATAATTATGGTGTATCGAAATAGAAATCTGTAAATGACTTATGGCATTTATTTATATACATATATATCATTGATCATTATCATATTTTCTTTTATTTAGAAAAACAAACTTATTAGTAATAACGTCTAAACAGTATAGTTCTAAATTTAACACTCCGAGTCTTATTAGCTAAAAAGATTTTAACGATCAGTTAATATGGTATAAAAAAAAATTGTATTTTATATAAATCATGTCAGATTTGTATCAAACCTAGATTACGCCAAAGAATACACCAGAATAGTATTTTTTTTTCTAGTGTCGTTACTATGTGATCAATTACTCAATTAAGATGATAGTATGTGAAGCGTCTAGGCGTAAAGATGTCCTGAACGAAGGATAGATAGTTCAGTTGATTGATAGTAGGTAAGATTATAACTATAGTAACACTTATTTAAATTTTTCTAAAACTTAACATTTCTCTATAAACATAGTATTTCATGAATAACTAACAAAGTTTACAAACCATTTATTCTTATGGGACGGTAATAAAAAAATAGACATTTTTTAACCAATGTACGTATTAAATCAAAACAATAACTTTGTTATTGTTCATTGTCTTTAGTAATTATACTTATATTAATTATCCATAATATAAATACAACTTGGAAAGAAACAACAAAAGCAATGCTAGAGTAAAGGAGTAAATTTAAGAATGGGGAAATATAACGAATTTAGTATTTTTCAAAATCAATTACATAGCAACACGTTTTTATTATCACATAAACCTCTTGTGGTACACTTCATTGGTAATGATAAAACTCGCGTGTTAATTTTAGTTTATTATATTTAAGATTAGAAATTCATAATTAGCATGTTTTTGTGTAATTTTTGAACATAAAAATATAAGGTATTAGTGTTTTAAGATAAATTTTTCAACTTCCTCTCTTAAGTATTTCATAAGTACTACTTATTAATTTTTAATCCATTAGAGAATTCATATTTTACAATAGTTTTAACTACAAAGTTTTACGATTGTTTTTGTCATCTTCCCTTATAGTTCGGGGAATATTCCGCTGACGCAAAATATAGGTTAATTATTTCAGCATACTTTACACTAAATAAATAAGCTGTATAAAAAAAAATCGTCGAAATTACTCTGGTTTTTATCGTTTTGGTCATCAAATATAATGATAACAATGAAAAATACGTTAGTTGAAAGATTGAAAGATAGCGCTCGCAACATACTATCTACATTGACGGCGCCTCAAATTATTATTAGCATTGTTCGTTTATTTGTTCATTATCCGGGATAAATGAAATCAAGCATTCAGAAGTCGGTACTTTTGAATGAGTTTCAATTGTTGAACGTTTGCATTTAATGGCATTGTTAAACAATATTTTTAAGAAGAGAAATGTATAATCTTCTTTCAATTATTTTTATAAATTTCCTTGTTTTCTTTAATCAAAAAATATACTGTGAAAATGTTTTTTTTCCAAATTTGCCAATTGTAAGTATTTAAAATTGTTATTTTTTCTAAAAATATAACAAATGTAAATATTAATAATATTTATTGAAGCCAAATAACATTACAAAATATATATATATATTTTATTAAGAGATCATACGTTTTTAGGGAGAATACCATATAAAATTTAAAGCAGGTTTTAAATGCAATTCTAGTATTCATTATAAAATTGACTTAAACCTTCACCAAAGTAAGATTGCCAGTTCAAAAACAGTGATTACTGGAAATATGAGCTTTCATATTCCGTTAGATGATTCATTAATTGTAAGGTTTACAATTATGAATTCCTGTTTGATTTAAATAGATACAAATTGTAAATATTTTATGTACTAGGTAGACGTTAACGTGGCCGTTTTAGATAAAATAGGAGGTTGGAAAGACAACGCATATGTCTTTCAAATTTTAAATGCTTGTTCAGCAGGATTATCTATTCTTGGGCCTGCTGCTTACAAGACTCTATTCAAAAGTTTCAATGCAACTGATGATTCTTGCCCTATAAAAGCGGTAAATTGTCTTTATAAAAAATTTTAGGTAATACTTCTCTAAAAAACATAGTTAACTTATTATGTAATAAGTATTTTTCGCTTTAGTGTTACCTAACAATAGTTTTAGGGAGAATAGTTAAGCCTCTCAAAAAATATAAATTGACAGTATTTATTTAATATTTAATTCACTTTTCAATTTATGAGAGCAAATACCTTAAAAGTTTTTCATCGTCAAGAAACATAAAATTGTAATTTATTTTTGACGCTGGTGTCGAACTTAATGTTATACATAATTATACACGTTTAATGTCACAACTGAATCAAAAAGAAATGAAATATTGAGTTACAAAAAAAAAAAAATCGCCGATTAAATATATTTGGTGGTTAGTTTGTACCAGCTAATTTGAGTTGAGATAAAATTTACGGCATTTTCTCAATATTTCGGGTAATTAATGAACACTATTTTTATTTGAAAACTTATTCATATATTTTTTGGAAGTACAAAGAATTACCTACTTTGATATTAGTAAATTATAACTTTGTTATTTATTATTTAGTGTTATAACAGTAGAGCTTTGTAAATATTACTTTTAAAATTTTTAAAATTAAAGGGTTGTAGGCACGTAGTAAGGATTTTATTTTTGGGGATCTAAAAAATACTGTTTCATCGGATAATATCCATAAACCCATGACAAAATATTTGCAATCATAGTATTGTGACAACATTTCTCATCCGGTGCTATTTTATTATTAGAAAAAATATATATATATTGGTTTATATATATAATAATTTTAGAAAAAATATGATTATAAAAATAGAGAAAACATCTTATATATACAAATTATGTAAAAATTCTAGTGAACTAGGTAATATTAGTCAGTAAAATATGTTTTTATAGAGTATTATTTTGGTGGTATATAATGTTGTCAATTCTTTTAATATTCATAATTTTATACCAATTTTAATTTTTTTTTTTTTAGAACAGTTATTATTTGATGAATAATCTTGATGTGGATTCATTTGTTGATACAATTTTAAAGACAAATAAAATGGCACCAAAAACACTTTTCTATGGTTCTTATAAAGCTAAACTTATGCATAAAAGAAAAGATTATGATGAAATATTATCTTGTTTTGTTATAATTTTTGATGTTACGAGGCCATGGGAAGATTCTTATCATTATCAATAACTGAAATTACTTTTTAAATATTTTAACTTTTACTTAAAATAAAAAGTATGACTAATTCTTTTTTAACAATCATATTTTACAATTCATGATACAATTTAATATCTTAATACATTACAGAGTGATTCTTTAAAATTAGCCACTTGAATTCTTTTGAAACAATAATTAAGTTAAAAATTATTTTTGGTATTTTTTAGTTTTATATATTTCTTGACATATTAATTATTAAGTCATTTATTATAACCGTTTTAAAATATGAACTATAGGTAAGTTAAAAATATGATAATAATTATTATATGATTTTTTTCAGCTTTCAGATTTTTTATTATTTCCGAATTATTAATTAAAAACATATTATTGAAAAGTCATCTTCTTAGTTTAATAATTTTTTATTTTATAAAGAAAAAAATATAGGAGTTAACGAAAATTCAATAAATTTGTATAGTTAAGAGATCTAAACTTATGTAAGGTGATCGATTTTAATTAGATTCATTTCCTTAAAAATTATAGACATTTTAAAATTTTTATTAAGAGAAAAATTATTTGGTTTAAAAAATTCTACAATAATTCTAATTAATTTTTTTCATTTCCTTAGGAATAAAAATACCTTAATATAAATTTCTCTAAATAGAAACCCCTATTTTTGTAACATGATCAAAAAGTATATATTAATAATTTTTTTTTTTTATTATTGTCAGGAAGGAGTAGTACTGCAATGTATAAGTATTTCGCTGGACTATATAAATTGGCCGTACAATTATTTTTAATTTTTCCTAAAAATCAAAGCTTTACATTAAATGTAAATAGTAGGTATTTTAAAAAGAGTCCATATTAGTCGAATGTCATGCTAGTAACTTAAGATAGTACAAGTAGTGCTGTACTATTGTGAAAACACTGAACAATAAGTTTAATTTTGATTTTTAGTTAACACTGAAATAAATACTTATATTTTCTATAGCAATTAAATATAATATAGTATGGCGTTTGTTTAATTTATTTAGTATTTCTTTATAAGCAGAGAAAAATAGAAATGTTTTAGTACGCAGTGTACTTAAGGAAAAATTAATACTGCAAGCTGATGTTAATTCATATAATCTGTAAACGTAAATTAATTTAATTATTAAACTTCTAACAATTCGTAAAACTTAACATATAAAGTATTTTTTTTTTTTTTAATGAATATTTTAATAAAATATTCATCTTTATTAATACAAATAAATAGTTCGCATTGATTTTATTTTATTTGAATTTTAAGAAAATGATCAGTAAATGAAAAACCGGATTTCACTGCTGTTTTAATATGATTAAAAAACAATTACTTTATCTTTTTCTACATAATTTTTTCTAGTATCTTTACCTCATCTAGACGAATTTTTATGAATATTTATATCTAATCTAAATGATTTTTTGATTATCTATTGAATAGATTTCATTCCCCATACTGCAAACATATAATTTGGTCGACCTGATAATATATAATTAAATGACATGGATGGTTTTTGTAAGAAATCATGTCGAAAATGGTAATTTTTCATGATACATAAAACTTTTTTTATATAACAGTAAATTTGATTTACGATTTACAAAAGACAATATAGTAACAACTTATCATCTACTTGTAGGAATAACAGTAGCACTGTTTACAAATATTTTAAAAATTAATCATAAATTTCTTTATGAAACAAAACTATATTTTAATACTATATTATACAAATTAATAATGATTTTTTAAATAACTTTAATAAAACAAGATTATAAGACTACAACATTAAAAATGCAAGAGATTTTATTTTTTTTTTTAAGTCAATGATTATTATATTAATATTTTATTATTATTTTTATTATGCGAGATTACATATAGAGTTAAGTAGTGAATATGTTTACCAAGCATGTTCATGTTTAATATTATTGCTGTATATTTTTTACATTTTACATTTGTAAACTTAGGTTAGTTATAACTGCTATTATGCATGTATATTATATTTATTTTATCATATGGTTAACCCTGGAAACTTCCGCGATTTATGAATTCATCTATTATCATGGTTTTTTAACAGACTTCAAAAAAGAAGGGAGTTATTAATTAATCCTGGATTTGTTTGTTAGATTCTGTATAGCTCATTAACAAAATTTTTATCATATATTTTTCTCGTGAATTTAAAATAAACTACCATCATTACGTTAAGTATTTATCTCTTTATATGATATGTTTAAAAATATTTCATGTAATACATAATAAAAATCTGTAAAAAAATATAATCTATTTTAAGTAATTTTGCAATATGTATTTCTGTCTTAACTACTAACATTTTTATGTAGATTAACAAAAGAAATATTTGTGCATTTCGTGATAAAAAATAACGCATATTAAATTTAGTCATTGATCGAGACTAACGAAAATTGTGATTCATTCAAAAATGGTTATTTATAATATAATTATAACCAGTGATTCCCTTCAGTCTATATCCTGTATTTTTTTATAACTTAAATAATCAGAATTTATTAAAGGATTGTAATATTTCATTACATATTATGTTTCATATGAATGAAAAACTGAACTTTATTGTAATTATTCGAATAGAAAATGATATAAAATCGAATAATACACATAATGAGAAATTATTTATATACAGTTTTTAAATCATAATAAAATTGTTAAAAAAAAAAATTACTTTAATTAATATTTTTAATTATATAATTACTAGTTTGAGTTAATTATTTTTATACTTACACAGTTTTAATTATTTAGAATATACTTCAAAAAGTTCATATTGGTTCATAAGATTATCTTTTGATATTATTTTCAACATAAATAATTATAATCCCACGTAAGAAATGATTATTGGAGGTTTAACTAAACTCTAGGGGTGAATAAAATATTACATTTCAAATTATTTACTTAAGTTTGTTAGTCCAATGAAATGAGGTTTCTTAAATTTGATATAAAATAGATATATGATAACACCTTATAGATAAATAAGTCTTGCAAAATCTTCTATAATTTTTTGCTTTGTAATTTCTTATTTACTACCAATGAAAATGTACCACAAAAAAAGTTACTCAAAATATGCTAACAAATTATTTTAATTAATTAATTGAAAATAATGAATTGTAATTAGAGCATATTTTGATATTATTGAAATTACTAATTGCTCAAGGTATTGAAAGATAATGTTCTGAAAATAAGATATTAAACATACATTTTATTTTATTTTTATTTAGAATTGTATAAATTAATATAATAAATTATTTATCTTTTTCTTTTTCCTCGCCTTAATCCCAACTACTTGGGGTTAGTCACTCTTATCCTGACGTATCACTTGACACCATCTTCACGTCATCAACACACAACAGCAGTCCTCACATCGCATAGAATAACATTCCTCCATCTCTTATTTGGTTTTCCTCTACCTTTTTTTCCCTCAACATAAGTTTTCATAACTATTCTTACAGTTTCCGATTCATCTATCCTTATAACATGATCAAACCAACTGAGCCAATTTTCTTTCATCTTGTCTACAATTGACGATACACCTATACTACCTCTTACATTTTTGTTCTTTATTCTATCTTCTTTATTCTTTATTCTATCTCCATTCATCTATCTAAGCATTTTCATCTCTGCTATACTCATTCTCTGCTCCGTTCTCATATCAATCACAACAATACTGTACACAAATACAACAATTTGTACTATACATCATAGTTGATTTCACTGCAGTCTTATAGAACTTACCTTTCAGTCTCATTGGTATTCTTTTGTTGCATAACATACCTGACGCTTCTCTCCATTTCACTAAACCGCACTTAATCCTAAGTCTTATATCCTCT